AAATAAATAATATATATAATATATATATCTATTTTTGTAGTAATAATGTGTATAATTTTTTTCTTACTTGACGCCATTTTCTGGTATCATATGTTTTATAAAATGATACAAGGAATATATGACAGCTTTTTTGATAGATATGAATAGATTGAAATATATTACAGTTTTTTTTCTATAGATAAAATATAATATGACAATTTTTTCTGTTAATTTTTATATACATGTGCGCGCGCGCGCGAGAGCGTATACACACGTATGTGTGTACAACACTGTTCTAATATGTATTTAGCGCTTTTTTATACCTTTTGCTAATTTTTTATAGATATTATGCCTTTTTTAAGTTCATAAGAAATTATACAACTTTTACTCTTATTTCTTATATCTAACCGCTAAATTGATTTACTAATCTGTAATAACATTAACAAAACTTAAAAAAAAAATTAATTTATTATGAAAAGCAATTGCGACGTATTTTGGATATCGAAATCAGATGTTTTATCCTTTATATCACTGGCTGTCGTCCAAAATATATGCACAAGCATCTGAAAATATTAAACGTAAAAATATTCAAATATTAGGAACCATATAATATGTATATATCTGATTCATTTAATCTTAACAGGCAAATATTTCGAAAATATGCTATTTTACAAAAAAAATTTTCCAGATGAAAGTTGTATATTATAAAGGGGGACGTACGATGGTGACCCTGCATATTTTTGTGAAATATTTGCCTGTTAAGATTAAAATGAATCACCCCGTATATTGTATTGTAACTGAATTTTGAGTGTACATATTGTAAATAACATCTGAAAACGTCTATAAATGCGTTTCAACATTATGTACGCTACATATGATTAATTAAGCGGCTTTTACCTTCTTGTATGGTAAGAAAAGGCAGTGAAATACAAGATATCTCATCAGGTATCGATGAAAATTATTCCTCTAAAAAGAAACCTCTCAGACGTAATCATTCACAATAGTTGAGATATCGTCAATTCTAAATGCTTCGATATTGCGTGCAAAATTCGAAATCTCTCTGCAAAGTTGTAATAAAATGATAAATAGCCTGGGTAATAGAAATCATATTTCTCAGT